AGTCTTGAGGATCCAGGAGAAAACAAAAGAAACTGGAGAATACGTTAAGTTAGAGGCAGAGAATTAAAGCCGGGCTGCAGAGGAAGGGAATTTAAAAAAACAAACAAACAAGCATGGCACCCTACAGCGCTCAGAAATGCGCTTTCCCAGAAATGCGCTTTCCCGGTGGTGGGCACAAATCCCTTGACCACCGAAGAAGCGAAGAAGCGAGGCCAGGCCTCCTCTGTGTACTTGCCTCATTTTCCATTGCAGAGAATATTCTACTCACCCCCATGTGTCCCTCAGAGAATGACCTGGTACTCAAAGTTCAATCGCCTGCCCTCCATGAAGGTTTATTCCAAATAAAAAGCCTTTCCTGTTGACCACAGGCTCAGTTCCAAGTAAAAGTTATCCAGAAGAGAGCTGTCCCCAGGACTCTGGGAGAGGCCGAGCACCAGAATCCTTGACAAAGTGTGTTTGCTGTTGGGTGTTCAGGGAGGGGTGGTGGGAGAGCCCACGATTTTCTTTCTTGGTGTTTGTTTTATGTTCTTTTCTCATTCCCAAAAGGATCTGAATGTGAAGTCTGGTGATCTCTATTCCCCCTCTCCTGTTCCTAACCCCTGAACTTTAACCATTCCTGAAACACATCTGGTTTGGGCTTGGAAAGAAATGTGTCCATTTAGCAGCACGCTCTGATTCTAGCCCCAGTCATTGCCTTAGCCTTATGAAACATGATCTTGTCTTTTAACATTCTCTAAGGGTCTCTAACAAGCATCCTTGATCCGAGGGTGCCACCTTACCCAAGATGAGCACCCAAACTCAAGACGCCCATTAAGCATTCCCTCCCCGCCTCCAGGAAAATATCCCTACGCTGAGAACTTGAGGAAACTGATCATTTAAAGTATCTCTAAAAATTAGTATGAAAATGGTCAATAATTTAAAAGAAGCAAAGAGACACAGATAGGTTGATGAAAGTTTTGAAGCTGTCTGGTCTTGGACAAGATCCTTAATAGTTTGGGCTGGTTTTCACTACTGTAAAAAGGGAATAATAATAGGGTCTTCTCATATGTTTGCGAGGATTAAATGGGTTAATAAGTATAAAGTGATTATAACAGTGCCTGGCACACAGTAAGCACTCCATAAATTGCTAGCTGCTTATTAAAAAGAAAAAAACAACAGGAAGAAAAAGAAGGTGTGGCGTGAGGGGGAGGAAACTGGGCAGGAGGAGGACGGAAGGGCAAAGTGGTTCAGGGGGCCACGTTTCATCGTTAGCATGCTAGTATTGACATTAGCATCACGGCAGACGTGTAGCAGACTGTTGAACTACAGATGTCTTACTCTGATACGAAGAAAGATATCCCAGTTTCTGGCTTATACTGTCTTCAAACTGTGAAGCCTTTGACACCATAAGGCGGGACAGCAAGCAAAGCAGTCAGAACAAGACAGAAGCCTTGTGCAAATCCCTTGACAGTTCTCCTACAGTCCCTGCTGATTGCATTTGTCATTCACAACTGAAAGAAAAACCCGAGGTCAGCAGAAATATATCACTTGTGCCTGTTACCCAGTCATTCTCCTAACTGAAGGCAGATAAGAAGAATCATGTCGCTGCCCCAGGAGGTCAGTTGATGGAACTGGAAAGCCAACAGGCAACTGAGGAAGCCTTGGGCTTGGAAAGCTGTGTCTGAGGGCCCCTGCCCAGGGCTGGGCCTTCGAGACAGGCTGAGGGTGTCAATAAAATGCACTTAAGAAAAATGTTTTGACTAGCTAACTATGATTAGATGGATGGATAGGTAGGTAGGTAGGTAGGTAGGTAGATAGATAGATGGGTAGACAGATAGATACAGTTTATATACAGGGAGAATATATATAATCTAAGTTAATTGACAAAAATTTAGGCTGTGTCTTACACTTTCCTGTATATGATGAGGTTTCAAAAGGTTTGTTTAATGGGCTTTGACTGTCCGGCCCTGTGCTGAGCACTTTATAGGCATTACCTCATTTCATCCTCACAACTGACTCATCAAATAAGCACTTATTTTATTGGTGAAGAACCCAGAACCCAGAGATTTTAAGTCACTTGTCCAAGATCACACAATATGTAACTGATAGAATGGAGATCTGATCTAGGCATCAGACTCTAGGGCTTACAGTCTTCACCCCCACATTATCCTGATTTGATAATTTTCAACACTCCTTTTGTTAAGTTTTACTTTTATTGGCATAGAACTTGATGCACTACAATTTACAAAGTCAGAGATTGTAACACTAAAGGTTCTTCCTACACTGGTACTGACTCAGAAATTAACAAACTTTTCAGGAAATTGAAAAAGCAGCTGTTTTTGTTTTCGTTTTTTTCTTTTTTCTTTGAATTTTTTTAATGTTTATTTATTTTTGAGACAGAGGGAGACAGAATATGAGCAGAGGAGGGGCAGAGAGAGGGAGACACAAAATCCGAAGCACGCTCCAGGCTCTGAGCTGTCAGCACAGAGCCCGATGCGGGGCTTAAACTCACAAACCTCGAGTTCACGCCCTGAGCCAAACTTGGACACTTAACCGACTGAGCCACCCAGGAGCCCGTTTTCATTTTTTTTCTAGTTGACAAGAGATGATGCTAGTTTCGAGGAGGAGAACGGACATCTGGTCCGAGGCACCAAACTCCTACTCTTATAAAAGAGGTAGCTCCTTTGCCCCCTAGCTCCTGCCTCCAGATTTTAAATACATCATCAGAAGCTGGATGCTCCTCACCCTTAGCCCAGCTCCAAACCCGCAGAGCATGATATATCATGATGACTTCCCAGAAGAAAATTGCCTCTGTCTCTCAAACAAAACAAAAAGGGGTGGGGAGGCACCTGGGTAGCTCAAAAAAAAAAAAAAAAAAAAAAAAAAAAAAAAAAAAAAAAAAGGAAATTACTTCTCCAGGCAGCTGAGAGATCTTGTGTACACATCAGCTCCTTGTTGGCAAATTTATATAACATGTATATTTGTAGCACTTCGTGACACAGATACTTTTATACCCCAAAATGCACATTTTGCATAATGCACATTATGTCTCTTGAAGTGTCTTAGAATACAATTCCATTTACGAGATTCTGTACTTGAGGTGACCACATTGTTTTTGATCATAGAGGCATGTGGTGTGAAAGAGGTAACAAGTAGGTGAGTGGTCAGCTCCACTGTGCCCGGGGCCGTTCAGGAAGGGATTCTCGGCAGCACCATGAGCTGTGGCCCACTCAGAAGGGGCAGCTCCAACGTGACTCTGGAGCGTGCCCGTCAGCCAGCCGTGGTCTCTCCAAAATGCCGCTTTCTTGCAGCAGAGTGATGTGTCTGCTCCTAGCACTGGGCCCGGAAGTGGTAAGAATGCAAGCCCCATCATAACATCAATGATACAACCTGCTTATTGAACGAACAAACAAGCTCTAGATAATTTTAAGTTTGTATGCACTTTCAGAAAGCTTGAAAGAGAGAGTAGCATCGCAGTTATGACTTGACCTTTGGAGTCAGACTTGGAACCAAATCCCAGCTCTGATGCTCACTCGGGTGACCCGAGGCAAGTTCCTGACAACCTCCCCTTTCCTCGTGTGTGAACTAAGGGTGATAATAGTATGCATCTCACGGGGTTGCCATGAGGCTTAAGTGACCAAACATCTCAATTGCTTAGTGCAGTGCCTAGTTCATAAGAAAGGCTCACTCAATAAGTGTTAATAAAAAATAACTACCACTTTGATTTGTAAATCCAAGTGTAGGGAGGGAGAAACATTTCCTTTCTCCAAAGGATCCACACAGAGTTACTTTTAGAGAAAAATGTGTTTAAGGAATGGTTTGCAACTTAATCTAAGGAGCAGTGAAACTTATGCAGATATAAGATAAACTATTTTTGAGTTCCTACAGCTGGAAGGGGAGTGCCATG